ATCCCAAAGTGACACCAACATGGAATAGGCCTGGGAAATTCTACAGCTCCAATGAACATCAAAAAAAAAAAATCCCTGAGAACAGCCACAACTAAAAACCTGGAGTTCCAAACTGTCTGAATCCATACGGAGTCACATTAACAAAACCAACGGAATATTCCATAGTCTGATCCTAAATCCCAACCCTCCAAACCACCCGCAAGCCCCACCAGATCACCAGGATGGCTGGAAAAGCTTCTTCCCCCAAAAGGGAGCTGAAATCCTGTTGGGGAGGTCTCCAGAAGCAGATGGATAAATGGAGTTTCCATGATGACAGAAGGGTGTGAGGAACAGAAATCCCTGGAGTCTCAATTCTGTCCCATCACGGAGGTGTCACTGGTCCAAGGGGTTCCTGCACCCTCAGGATGAGGACAATCTTGGAATCTTCTTCCAGGAAACAACAGCACCAAGAGTTGAAGTGGCTGCTGCTCACAGCAGGATACAAACATCCATCCATGTCCATCAGGAACAGATTGTCCAGAGCAGCTGTGGCTGCCCCTGGATCCCTGGAAGTGCCCAAGGCCAGGCTGGATGGGGCTTGGAGCAGCCTGGGACAGTGGGAGGTGTCCCTGCCATGGCACCGGATCAACTTTGAGGTCCCTTCCAACCCAAACCAGTCTGGGATTCTCAGCAGGTCCTGGCCGGCGTGGGCAGCTCCTGGAGAAGCTCCATGTGGAACGTGGTGGCAGCTCTGGGAATTGGCTTGTTCCAAATTTGAGCATCCAAAGAGTCAAGGAGAGCTGGTTCTGCTGGACACTGAAGTTCCCAGGAATGCAAGCTCTGGTTGATAAGTGGACGCGGAGAGTGACCCATGAGGTAAAAAGGAGCCAGAGTTCCTTTCCTACAGGACGTGCCATCCTTCAGCTCCTGGCTCAGCATCCACCTTCTCCGACCAGCCTGGAGCTCCAGCTCAGCAGCATCCCTGGAAGTGTCCAAGGCCAGGCTTGGAGCACCCTGGGACAGTGGAAGGTGTCCCTGCCACGGCAGAGATGGAATGAGATGATCCTTAGGGCCCCTTCCCACCCAAACCATCCAGTGAATAATTCAGTGATCAGAGCCTGAGGATTCACAGGGCTCTCATCAAACCTCTCCAAGCAGCACAATCCCAACGTTCCGAGCTACAAAAGCAACTCATCCCAAAAAACCCAACCCTGCACGTCCCTCCTCATCCCACCCTGCGGTGGGTACGGAACGGGGCAAGCCACAAACATCCCACAGCCAGCACGGCTCCGTTTGAGTTCCACTCTTCCCAAACACCCAACAGGTCCTCAGACATTCCCAACAACCTTCAGCCAATTACCCCTAACGATCCTTTTCTCCAGGTAAAAGCTCTGTGCTGGGAAAAGCACATCCAAATTAAGAAACACGACTCGGACGCGGAGGGAACGCCGGGATTCGAGGTGGGGATGGGGAAACAGCAACCCTCAAAACACCAGGACACCTCCCAGAAACTTCCTGAGTCCCAACACGCAACACCCACTCCAAGGAAACCCCAAAATCAGGCCAATTAATCCATAATTCCATTAAAAAGTTGTTAGAAGAGCTACTGCAGCTTCCTTCAACGGCCCAGGTTGGCGCCACTGGACATTTTTAAACAACAAACAGTGACACGAGACAACCTGGACACTTTTGGACACCAAATTCCAAGTGCCAGATCAATCCCGGGCACAAGGGTCCCTCCACAGGCTCCAAACGACAAAGGTAAAACACCTGAATTACCCTGAAAGTTTTGGGATGAACAAGAGTCCTTTGGACCCAGAGGCTCTCCCAGGAAGGGATCATCCCACCAGGGTTAAGCTGAAGCAAACCAGGATTTACTCCCATCCCGGGAGCCACGTCTGGCAAAGCACAACCTGGACTCCAAAGGAAATCCTTCATTCCTCACTAATTTTAGAAGGCTCAGCCACCAGCACCGTTTCAGCTGCAACAAGGGGAAGCTGTTCCTCAGCTGCTCCAGGTGGGCACGGGCAGAACTCGCTCAAAAAAGGTTTGCTCTGTTGTCCCTGCTCAAAAAAATCCACCATTTTTAGCTTTGCCTCCAATCCGGCCGTCGTTTGGGGGGTGCTCCGTGCCAGATGTCTGCTCCTTCCACCCCAGAGCTGGCAAAGTTTACGGAGCCCCTGAATCCTTCGCCAAGGAAGTCTAAAAATGTAAAAATAGTGTTGAGAACCAGCGGGAAACGGGTGTGGGGGGAGAAAGCCAGCAGGGACGGAGTGACTTCTCAGGAGAGGCGATAAAGCCGGAGGCCCTGGCGGGATCAAGGGGGTGGGTTGGTGCAATTCCCCATCCAAAGGAGAACCAGAGTTCCCGGCCATTAGGCTGCTCCCCCTTCCCTGGCTCCTTCCTCCTGGCAGAAAATGGGGTCAGGGCAAGGGCCGCCCGGGGGGAGAGAATTCCAGGGGTAAAAGGAAGACGAGGCTCGGTAACTAGGAAAAAGAGCATTAATAACAATAATAATAATAAAGAAGGTACAGAAAAATGGCCCCGCGGCGAGGCCGGGACACGTCCGCACGCTCCGCCCGGCTCCCCCCGCGCAGCCCGGGCAGGGACGGGACAGGGAAAGGGACACGGGCAGGGGCAGGGGGGACACAGCCCCCGAGCCGACCCGCCACCCCCGGCACGGCCGCTCCCGCCGC